TGCAGCTGCTGATGTTGTAGCTTTCGTTGTACCATCTGAAGTACTGGATACGGAAGGCATCTCATCGATGATGATGCAGATAGCCTAAAAAGAAAGATTACAGTCGTTGTTGGTACCAATTTCGGACCATTCGGTTCTGGTATAAGTTTCTATATGCCAAGAATACCAAGACCATTCAGAAAATCGGTGTGAGGATTTGATACCAATGATGCAACTGACATGCTCCCATATGCCCTACATCGAACGAGGCTGCATATCTCCAGTTAGTATCCACCGCTTGTTCGGTGCATGAGCACCATCTCTTCAGTCTAAGTGGCCTTTTAATTTCTCACGGCACCACTTACTTAATACATGAGACATCCGCTGGTTGCTAGCAAGGTTAGCAACATGCGATTTTTTCGCTCTATATGCAAGCTTCTAAAATGTTACGCTATAGCGGAAAAAAAAATATACATCCAACATGCTGCATCCCTTATTTTTGTGGAGTACAGCTAAAAGAGAGTAACGAATCTGCGATTTTGTTCGTCCGCCAATCGCAAAAACACCTGAATCAATGACGATAGCTGGAAGCATACCGCTCTAACGACGAGCTCACAGCAAAGAAATCACGGCAAGAGAGCAACAGCACAAAGTAGCGATAAGTCCAGCGGTCTGAAGCGAAGTTATTAAACAAAATAATGGTACCTTTGCAAGTACGTAACAGCAAGTAGACTTGAAGGTTGAAACTCAAAGTCGTCGTCTCATCGCCAGCACTTCACTCGGCCATCATCCGCCGCATCATATTTCAGTTAAAGACAAATCCTGAAAAACAATAGCAAGCAATCTTAGAAGGCGAGCCCTTAGCTGCAGAACGCTGAATTTTATAAATCATGCAACGCAAATCATCAAAATCGCTTTGAAGAAACGAAAAATATGAAAATACTTTGGTGCCGAGCGAAACAACGAAACCGAAATCTCTCTTTTTCTCTTCACCAATGCCAGTCTTCTAGATCCCAAGCCTTACTCTGTCCACTCGCTGAATAACCAAAAATTCACAGCACAAAATTTCCATGATGATTACAACGAAAGCGAGACAAAAAGTCTATCGAAATCCCCCCGAACGTTCAATGAATATTGGTAAATCCACTAATAATATTACTTGTCCTTCACAATGCCAGCACTGCCAGCAAGCGATGCGGCACTGGTTAAAGCAACTGAAAAAGATGCCAGCCGGAGTGAATGGCTAAGAAATAGAGCTCACTGGAATATTTCCCGCAAAATGCGAAATATAGCAACTGAGGCATGAGGTAAACGCTGCATATTTCGCCAAAAAAAAAAATTCCCTTTTCCTCAAGTACGCTTCACACAAGACGCTGAAAAGCCAGAAAGGCAAAAGGAAGTCGAAAATCGCGAATCAAGCTACCCGTGAGCTCTCAAATTTCTCCCAGGGTTTGCTCTCAGAATGAGGAATGGAAATGCAAAGAACGAGGGCAACTGGGTGAAAATACGGAAACCAAAAGCGAAATCCCTCGTTCCTTCAGGAAAAACTGGTGCCGTGATTCTCAAACTTAGTATAGTGAAATTCATCAGTTTGCCTCAAAGACTGCCCAGATTCTAGCGAGCCAAGCTGTTTTTTTTTTTTTTGTGCGGTAAGCAGCTGAAACTGATGTCACTGAGACAGAGCCAAGTGCTAGTCCTTTTACTCAAGATCATTAGCCTTCAACCCTCGCGAACACTAGACCCAGGCTGTTCAAGAATCAATTCAGAGGCAGGCATTTATTGCCCGAAAATTGTACAAGCATTAAGAAAACTGTGATCAGATGAACACACAGTCTAACTACTACACAAATCCCACACTGGAAAATGCAGTTTTATTTAATGAATATACATGCAGTTGTCTGCACACTACTGCACAGTTTTTTGTAACATACACAGCATATTTCAATGCTTACAAAAAAAAAGAAAAAAAAAATGCAATTAACAAATAACTGTACAGCAACAACAATTATGCATATAGACGATGATGAAGCCGGAGTTATTTTCATGCATTTTTGCATTTCACAGTGCACGAATGTACAAAACAAATAACAGTTCGTCCTGCCTCATCACGTTAGTTCTCTGCCCTCTTCACAGATGCAGTCTGCTCGGAACCAAAACGCGGAAACTGATGCCACTACGATTGTACCCTGTGCCAAACTGAATCTTTCACGCCTCCTCTGCCAGAATGCACCGGACAACAGAAATGAACAGTCGCTTCTGGACTAATACCTTGCCAAAGCATGATTCTAAGATTTTAGATTTCCTAGTTCAAAAGTTAAATTGTAGAGGCTGACTGACCCCGCCACGTTCTGCGCTTTTGCTACATCGGTGATGCAAAAAAAGAATAGTTAGTACAGGGGAATGTCAAGAGACAAAAGAAGCGTAGTTCGGCCTGGGCAACAAAAAAACCTGAAGGATCAGTAAGCACCCGAGCTAGGTCTCACCAATTTTGTCATCATATTTTACCGCTTTTCCTATTCAGCAGATCAAGGAACGGCAAAATATGCAAAGAGATGGTAATGCTCGCCCCT